TTTTTTTTTTTTTTTTTTTTTTTTTTAATGGGCTGCTCTTGTATTCTTGCATCAATAGAAGTTAAGTTCTTTGTCAAAATAAAAACAATAGTAAAAGACCAGTGACATATGTTTGACAGTAGATGAGATTACCCAGTTAAAAGAACATTAACAGGGATGGCTGTAACGGAGGTAAATGATACTTTGAGCTCGTCCACCATGTGTGATGTCCTGCAAGTACACGAGCGAACTGAATTAACTGGTTTAATATACCATAAACAATATGAACTGTCTTTCCATATTTACACCAAATATTAAGAAACGACATTCTGCAGAGTATATCTTACCAAATTGACTAATAAAATTAACAATGTATCAGTCAAAATTACTATCACAACAAACATTATAGTTCATAACTACCACTGTAGGGTTTGACTCAATACGCAGCCCTTTAAAACTCAAAGTTCATTTGGTATTGTAGAACAAGCATATCATGACATAGGGTTAAATATACATCTAAATAAAATCTACAAAAGTAGTTGTAATAAACATTACCTTCCAAGTTCCTTCAAAGATTGAACTAAAACCATACCAGCTGCTTCCAACAAATCATTTTCACAGCCATTGTTCTCTTGAGAAATACGCTTTAAAACGGATGAAGCTAGCCCTAATGCTTCCTCATACATGGAGCACACAAGATAGCTGCAAACCGCATTAACGAATTACATACAGGTCAGCTCATGCTTCCAACTCCTAACATAAGGAATCAATCAAACTGATACGCAACCACGTTCTTGATATACAAAAGAAGAAAAATTCAGGAAAACAGATGATACCTCTCCGAGCGCTCGATGTCTTCCCAAATTGCTTCTCCGTCATCCATAATCGGTACCGTCGGTTCCAAAGATTAAGAAACAGGAAATGGAATTCCAATTGATGAAGATTACCTCGCGGCGACAAAAATTGAATCGATTGGTCGAATAGAGAAATTAAAGATAGAGAAGAGCAAGAACTGCCCTCCGAGCGTGTAATTTTGTTAAATATAGATCTTAAATTTTAATAAATATAATGTTAAATATAAAAATGAAAATAAATAAATAAATATATATATATATATATATATATATATATATATATGTATATATATATATAACGAACATAATTCTTGCAAATTAAAAAAGAAAAATAATTTTTGTACTAATTATTATCTCATGGTTGAGTCATCGTACAAGACCAATTAAATTGTGCCACGTAATAGTTTGAATTAAGCCCAAGTTCTAAACCAAACTCAAATCCACTTAAAAGACGATTGGGCTACACCAAATAAGCCCAAATTTGAAAAAGGTAATTTAGCCCAAATTCTATAGAAGCCCAAGCCCAATAAATTTTTAATATTAAAAAAAAATTAAAAAATTATCACTATTACTAATTTAAAAATCTGACATGTCAGCCTAATCTAGCCACTTAGTTACTACACATCACTGTTTTAAGAGTCAAAACCCATCGACCTAATCTAATCCCTTACATGAGCGGATGCATACATATAATCGAGTCTAAAGAGAACGAAGGTGGTGTACTTCCAACCCTTTTAAAGAAAAGAAAGTAGAGCTCGAGAACCGTTAAAGTTTTAGGCCTCACCATCATGATAGTCACAATTAAATTGTACGTGTCTGTGTTTCTCGACTCTAATAGTGAGTCATTTACTGAATATTTTTTAGGGTTTATGTTTCTAAGGAAAGGATAAAAGAAATCTGGATGGATGCAATGATTGTTGTGAAGATCGTGAAATAATTCAGTCATAATTAGTTTTACATTTAGTCTTGATAGTAAAATGTTTATCTTAAGCGTTTTAGCTCGTTGAAATCTCAAATAAAGGTTTGAGGAACTTAAAAAAAAAAGTTTCCACTTAGTTATTTTCTCTTTGAACGTTTAAAAAAGTTTTTGCAATATGCACTTCAAAACGGAAAATAAAAGTAAGAGACGGGAATGAAGAAGCATTTATGTCTGGCCCCACGTGAACCTCTTTAGTCAAAGATAACTGAAAAACAACTATCTCTTTTTTGTCTTAAAATGGATTAGCTTAAACTTCACGGCTATCGTTTTCAAGATTTCCTTTTCATTTATTTAATTAAATTTGACAATTTTTCCGATGATATTACATAAATTTGTTATAATAAGATTTGAACCTTGGGTTTGGGAGGTACGTAATGTTATAACCTAGTGGACTCTGATCGTGTTAGTATGTCTTCACCGTTAATATACTAAAAAAGTAGGTAAGAAGCATAAATTTTCAATTTTTACGGGAATAAGTAATTAATGACTTAACGGGATATTTCTACCTCTTAACTAATTGATTTCAAATTAACTAAATAATATAAACTTATCTACATCAAATGTGCACATCATTTATAAATATACAAGTGTCACTAATTATAAGATTTGAATTTAGTATAAGGTCAACTAATTAATTTAATAATGAGAAAGTTTTATGAAATTAATGTAAGATTAGGAAGGAATTGACTTGGTTAAACAATATCATAATTGATTTTCCCGTAAATATTTAATACCATTTATTATCTCACATTTTTTAAGTAATTTCCTTTTCATTTATGGTACCTATGACACGGACCATGTCTTTGACTTNTTTTTTTTTTTTTTTTTTTTTTTTTTAATGGGCTGCTCTTGTATTCTTGCATCAATAGAAGTTAAGTTCTTTGTCAAAATAAAAACAATAGTAAAAGACCAGTGACATATGTTTGACAGTAGATGAGATTACCCAGTTAAAAGAACATTAACAGGGATGGCTGTAACGGAGGTAAATGATACTTTGAGCTCGTCCACCATGTGTGATGTCCTGCAAGTACACGAGCGAACTGAATTAACTGGTTTAATATACCATAAACAATATGAACTGTCTTTCCATATTTACACCAAATATTAAGAAACGACATTCTGCAGAGTATATCTTACCAAATTGACTAATAAAATTAACAATGTATCAGTCAAAATTACTATCACAACAAACATTATAGTTCATAACTACCACTGTAGGGTTTGACTCAATACGCAGCCCTTTAAAACTCAAAGTTCATTTGGTATTGTAGAACAAGCATATCATGACATAGGGTTAAATATACATCTAAATAAAATCTACAAAAGTAGTTGTAATAAACATTACCTTCCAAGTTCCTTCAAAGATTGAACTAAAACCATACCAGCTGCTTCCAACAAATCATTTTCACAGCCATTGTTCTCTTGAGAAATACGCTTTAAAACGGATGAAGCTAGCCCTAATGCTTCCTCATACATGGAGCACACAAGATAGCTGCAAACCGCATTAACGAATTACATACAGGTCAGCTCATGCTTCCAACTCCTAACATAAGGAATCAATCAAACTGATACGCAACCACGTTCTTGATATACAAAAGAAGAAAAATTCAGGAAAACAGATGATACCTCTCCGAGCGCTCGATGTCTTCCCAAATTGCTTCTCCGTCATCCATAATCGGTACCGTCGGTTCCAAAGATTAAGAAACAGGAAATGGAATTCCAATTGATGAAGATTACCTCGCGGCGACAAAAATTGAATCGATTGGTCGAATAGAGAAATTAAAGATAGAGAAGAGCAAGAACTGCCCTCCGAGCGTGTAATTTTGTTAAATATAGATCTTAAATTTTAATAAATATAATGTTAAATATAAAAATGAAAATAAATAAATAAATATATATATATATATATATATATATATATATATATATGTATATATATATATAACGAACATAATTCTTGCAAATTAAAAAAGAAAAATAATTTTTGTACTAATTATTATCTCATGGTTGAGTCATCGTACAAGACCAATTAAATTGTGCCACGTAATAGTTTGAATTAAGCCCAAGTTCTAAACCAAACTCAAATCCACTTAAAAGACGATTGGGCTACACCAAATAAGCCCAAATTTGAAAAAGGTAATTTAGCCCAAATTCTATAGAAGCCCAAGCCCAATAAATTTTTAATATTAAAAAAAAATTAAAAAATTATCACTATTACTAATTTAAAAATCTGACATGTCAGCCTAATCTAGCCACTTAGTTACTACACATCACTGTTTTAAGAGTCAAAACCCATCGACCTAATCTAATCCCTTACATGAGCGGATGCATACATATAATCGAGTCTAAAGAGAACGAAGGTGGTGTACTTCCAACCCTTTTAAAGAAAAGAAAGTAGAGCTCGAGAACCGTTAAAGTTTTAGGCCTCACCATCATGATAGTCACAATTAAATTGTACGTGTCTGTGTTTCTCGACTCTAATAGTGAGTCATTTACTGAATATTTTTTAGGGTTTATGTTTCTAAGGAAAGGATAAAAGAAATCTGGATGGATGCAATGATTGTTGTGAAGATCGTGAAATAATTCAGTCATAATTAGTTTTACATTTAGTCTTGATAGTAAAATGTTTATCTTAAGCGTTTTAGCTCGTTGAAATCTCAAATAAAGGTTTGAGGAACTTAAAAAAAAAAGTTTCCACTTAGTTATTTTCTCTTTGAACGTTTAAAAAAGTTTTTGCAATATGCACTTCAAAACGGAAAATAAAAGTAAGAGACGGGAATGAAGAAGCATTTATGTCTGGCCCCACGTGAACCTCTTTAGTCAAAGATAACTGAAAAACAACTATCTCTTTTTTGTCTTAAAATGGATTAGCTTAAACTTCACGGCTATCGTTTTCAAGATTTCCTTTTCATTTATTTAATTAAATTTGACAATTTTTCCGATGATATTACATAAATTTGTTATAATAAGATTTGAACCTTGGGTTTGGGAGGTACGTAATGTTATAACCTAGTGGACTCTGATCGTGTTAGTATGTCTTCACCGTTAATATACTAAAAAAGTAGGTAAGAAGCATAAATTTTCAATTTTTACGGGAATAAGTAATTAATGACTTAACGGGATATTTCTACCTCTTAACTAATTGATTTCAAATTAACTAAATAATATAAACTTATCTACATCAAATGTGCACATCATTTATAAATATACAAGTGTCACTAATTATAAGATTTGAATTTAGTATAAGGTCAACTAATTAATTTAATAATGAGAAAGTTTTATGAAATTAATGTAAGATTAGGAAGGAATTGACTTGGTTAAACAATATCATAATTGATTTTCCCGTAAATATTTAATACCATTTATTATCTCACATTTTTTAAGTAATTTCCTTTTCATTTATGGTACCTATGACACGGACCATGTCTTTGACTTTAATAAGTTGGAATTTGTGTACGTGAGATTCCACATCAATTGAGAAGGAGAATAGAACATTCTTTATAAAGGTGTGAAAACTTCTCCATAGCACACACATTTTAAAAATCATGAGGGCAAGCTCGAAAGAAAGAGCCCAAAGAAGACAATGTCTGCAAATGGTGGGTTTGAGCCGTTACAAATGATAATAGAGCCTAACACTAGGTGATGTGCTAGTGAGGAGGCTAAGCCCCGAAGGGGGATGGACATGAGGTGGTATGCCAACAAGGATGTTGGACCCAAAAGGGGGGGATTTGAGGGTCCCACATCAATTGGAGAAGGGAACGAGTGCCAACAAGGACGCTAGGCCCCGAAAGGAGGTGGATTGTGAGATCCCCATCGGTTGGGGAAGAGAATGAAAAGGGATGGAAACCTTGTAACGACCCATACCCAGGATATAGAATTTGTATTTGGCACCTGATGGCCCCGACATTTCTCTACGACGTAGTCATGTTACCTAATCCTCACTTCTTAAGAGTGAAGATTATCCTCACAGACCTACACAAGTTCTTCTAACATGTTTTGCTCTCACTCACCTAATCCTCACTTCTTAAGAGTGAAAACTATCCCTACATACCTACACAAGTTCTTCAATATGCTTTGTTCTCACTCACATACATATTAGGGAAATTCTTAACAGGTTAGTTAACATAAAATTAATCCAAGTAAAGCACGTTTAATCATGGAGTTCCTATGATTAAGCCACTGAAAAGAAAGGTCCAACTTGTTAGTATAAGTAGTAACTAAGCATTTCTTAGTCACCATATCCTCATGATCGCTCTCGTTCGAATGTAGACACGGTTTGTTCATAGACCTCTCATTTACTTGAGTGTCACAAAACTGATGTAAAAAGAATCTTAATCCTTTCTACAAGATATATTTTAGATAATTTAGAGCATTTTTATGTTTTGTTTTTTTTTTTGTCTCGTATTGCATTTTTCAATTGTTATGCAATTAACTTTTTGTTTATACACGACGTTAATTTAGAGACTAAAGTGACTTGTTGCATAAATTTCAATAATTAAAAAAGTAAATATTTAGAATATACTATGGACTAAAATAAAATAAATATAAAATTTTTAGCAGTAAATATTAATTTATAATTTATAGTTTTGCACAAAAATGTCCCCAACACGTAGGTGGACAAAGTAGCATTGAAAATCTTCAATTAACCTATAAATTAGATTTGGTCTAGAAAAATTAATAATAACAATAATAATAATCCATTATTTAATTAATAATAATTTTATATATAATAGATTTTTTTTTTTAAAGTTCACGCGCCTTAATTTTGTTTTATCTCGATTTTTTTAAAAGGTAAGATATCGATTTAAGTTGACAAAACTAACGATCCCGTTAGATTCTTCTCTATTAGAGACCTAACTGATTGTATCCGAATTAGAAATGAGCTTAAATTTGACACTAATCAAACGTTGACTTGTTATTATAGACATTTTTAATTAAACTTGACAAATATAAGAATGTTTTATTGTTCTTATTTTATATTTTCAATCGTACGTGCAACGATCTTTGCACAAAGCCGAATTTCATGGTTCTTATTTTATTTTATGGTTCGAGTTTATTTATTATTATTATTTTACTTATTAACAAAATAAATAACGTCGGTTTCCTCCTATACAAATATTGGGTAATAAAACAAGGTCAAGAATTAAAATAATATATTTTTTCATAAAAGAAAAAAAAAATCAATGATTAAAATAGATTTTTATAATAAAAATGAAAGAAAGAAAACTAAAAAATAAACCTATTATTATTTTGTTAAGAGAAAAAACGTCTTTTTTTTGTTACGTGCGAACTTGGAGGTCAAAGTCAAAGAAGTGACGCCAGCAGCCACGTGGACGCGATTGCGTACCCTTGACTACCGGGTCAATTCCGCCAGCGTGGCGCGTTTCATTTTCTCGTAAAATCCCATTTGCCCAAGTTGCAATTGATAGGTCCAAAAGGAATTTCCTCTGTTGATTTTTTTTTTTTTTTTTTTGGTTTTATTTAATTTTTTTTTTCAAATACAATCATGAAAATTTCACTATTTTAATTTGAATTAAAAAATAAAATCGACAAAATGAATAAAGAATCACTAATCTGCATAGTCAATTCACTCGGTACTCTCCATAATTAGAGTACGAACTCGAACTCTGTAAGAGAAGTAGAACTCTAAATCAATCGAGAGGTCCAATCCTTCATTCCTCATTCAATTTATTTTTCAGTCCAAAACGAGAATTTAAAACTTTTAAACCAATTAAAAACTGGGCTTATATTAAATATTTAACAAATTTTGATAATAGTAGAGGGGTCAAAATCATACATTTTCAAACGTTAAGGACTTGATTATCAAAATTTAAAATCGAGGGACTAATATGGCAAAAATATTAAACTTCAAGGATTAAAAATATAATTTATCATAGCTCGTCACAAAAGTTCGGGTTTTTTTATTTAAAAATTCTCTCATAAATAATTAGGTTTAAAATGAGTATTACTTTTTGACAAGGTTGTAAAACTAAGCCGCCGCCGCCGCCTTATTGTTCAATAAGGCGCGTGATAGTCATGAATTTAATTCATTGTTTTTGACTGACCAAATCTCCCTTCATTTGGTAAAATAAGGCTGTTTTTTTTAATAATATATAAAGTAAGTAAATGTTTCCCACATTTGGTCTCTACCATATATAATATTTATATTTATATTAATAAACCTTATTCTAAAAATAAAATTAACTCATTTCACGTCAATTCATTCACGAGGTTGACCAATATAAACGTATTCTCGAATTGAAAGTTCTAAATTTTATAATTATTTTATAAAAAAAAACTATTTAACAGAAGAATGGTCAAACATGAACATAGCTCAATTGATTAAAATATATTTAATTAAAAAATGAAATGTCTAAAAAGGTAATTCCACCCGCTATATTTTATTTTTTCCAAAAGAAAAAAAATGATAATTGAAGATATATAAATTAGGTGGAATGTCAGGCCAAGAGGCTCCACCAAATTCAAATTGCCATTAATTAGTGCTGAAACCAAAAGAGGGTTTCCTCTTCATCATCATCATCTTCATCAAAGGTCTCTGAAAATGGAGAATTTAATGGGTCTGCTCAGAATCCATGTCTTTAAAGGTGTCAATCTTGCTGTAAGAGACGTTGTTAGCAGTGATCCATATGTCGTTTTCAAGATGGGCAAACAGGTTTCTTCTTCTTCTTCTTCTTCCTCCTCCTCGAGCTCGAGCTCGGGCTCGAGTTCTGGTTTTTTTGTCTTAAAGCTTTTGACTTTAGAATCGTCTCGTGATTTTGTTTCTGGGTTTTGAATTTCGTGTCTTAAATTTACTCTAACACGTCAATTTTAGCTCCG